CTACTTGTGCTTTGAAAACTTTGTGAAAGGAGCTGTGAAAACAAACTTAACCATTTACTTAAAGAAAGATATGTCACAGGATAAAACATATCATTCATGCCTTTGCTTTTATAGGGTTAAGGCTTTTATTTTATCTTGAGTTCTTCTTGTGTTTGCCCTTAGCCCTTAATGGGTATTCTTGTTAGCCCCACTACCACCTTCAGGGGATAAGAGTAGTGATCTGCCAGCTTGCCAGTCTCAGGCTTCAAATATTCTATGTTATTTCATTTATTCCTAGATGGCATGGGTTTAGTGCAGGGTATTCCCCATAACTCTCTACTCAAAAATGTACATTTTACATTCTAAGGGAGATTCTTCTCTTACCACCATAACATGATTTTTTCTTGTGTGTCTTTTGGGGGAGGGGGGGTAGGGGGGAGAAATCACAAAATTATTTTCCTCCACTATAACCAGAAAACCTGAATTCTAGTTGGATGCAAATGAACACTTAGCATCTGGTAACTCCCTTCTCCCCTGCTATATCAAAATTTTTAACTGCTTATTACAAAAGTTGCTACACAAAGACTCTGTCTCCTATTTATCATCTTTGTGTTAGCTTCTGCAGGGCAATTCAATGGTAGCAGCAAAACCCTTACAGCATATCAAAATGGTATATCATTTGGCATGAAATTATTGATGGATAATTGTACAAAGTTACGGAATTCATGCAGCAATTTTAAGTGCATTCGTTAAGGTGATGTTGCATGAAGTACTATTGGCATTAATTATTCCATTAAAAACTCTTTCCAGTAAAAAGAGCAAATACTGTAAATTAAAAAACATCACAGAACTCTAGAAACCTTGCACCTTAAATGGCTGAGGACAAATGTAAATAATTACTATGGACTTGAATAAAAATTGCACTTGTATAAAAGAACAAAATTTAGCCCCCATTAATAACCTTCTTATTACTTTTCCAAAAAGAAGTAATAAAACATCAAGTAGTTCATTCCTGATGGCTTCACACAGTGAAGTTCATGCTAAATTGCCCAGAAGGAACAGTTTCTCAATCGCTATCTTTTGTGAACACATCATCAGTTTCATCATCATTCATCCCTCTTTGATAGCGTACTGAAGAGAAGGCACTCCAGTGAAGACGCTTCTTTTTATAGAGATACCACGCCAATCCGACAATGAAGACTAAGATAATTAGCAGGGCAAATGCTACAGCCACCCCGGTATGATTAGAACCTGTAAAAGAACGAAACAGAGGTAGTTATTCTTTGAAGAGTTTTGGTAAGAATGTTTTGTCATGGGGTTGACGCTTGCTTAGGTAGCTAATACTGCACACATTTATAGTTGAAGTTGAGGCAAACTGCTTCATCATATCAATAGTCTTCATCAAGTGGGAAGTTCGGTTCCCATATGACTCAGTACCTACCAGCTTATTTTGATCATTCTGTTGTCAATTTCCTAATCATATTTAGGTTGGAGGGGACTTCTGGAGGTAAAAAAAACCTACTAGTAAATGCTGCACTCATTTCAAGGTATGTATACTTCAGAAATCTTCTAAGTTCCTGACTCTCTTGGAGTGGAAGGGAATTTATGCCTCCCTTGGACTGAAGAGATCTTGTTGAGGTCTTCCTTAGCAGCATGAAGTTAAATCTGTTCCTGCGTTTCCGCTTCAGTGGAGATGTACACAAAATCAGAAAGATTCCACTGCTTCTCAGAACTTGTTTGCTTAATGCTCAGGTAACTGCTTTCTTTCCTGGACACAGCACAGTATAAGGAAGCAACATGAGGCCAGATTTTTTCTGGAGCTGTGGGGGGCCAGTTAAGAAGCCTCCTCAAGACTGAAACAGTCTGTAGTACCTTCTTACTTGGCATCTCCTACAAGTCTTTCGGTTCCCACCTACAGAGACTCACCCGTGAGAGATACTATCACTTCTTACCCCAGGGTAACTACTCTATGCTCTCTCTAAAGTGGAAATTTCACTTCTCTCCTTTAGCCTTTAACTGGACAGTGAGAGCCAGGAGAAGTAAATTCCTAGAGGATTTGTCGCTGAATGCAATTTTATGGCAGAACAGCAACAGAAGGCTCTTGCTTACGCAGAGGTACTTGATAGGTTCTTTTGTGAACTGCACTTTCATTATTTCAACACAGACTTTCTCCACCAAGAAAAGAAAATCCTTAATACAGTCACTACAAAATTAAGTCTGTGCTAAAAATCAATGCTTCCGTACCTAAAGGAGCTTTACAAACCACTCTGCTCTGACTACGACTGCAGTCAACTTTGGACCACGTGCCAGTTGTGGACAGGATAACGCTGCATTTTTCATTAACTTCTGCAGTTTTATTTTCCCAGTTGGCATAATTAACTGATGAGCCGTCAAGCCAGTTCAGGGACTGATCTGCTGGGAAAAAAAATTGCTTAGTTTAGATCACCAAAACGTGTTGTAATGCTACACAAGGTCATTCATAATCTATTGATTTCTTTACATTGCAACAGAACCAGGGCTGACCGACTATCCCATACATTAAAAGCAATAAATATGAACACAACACTTCTAGCCCCACCTCTTCTCCAGATCTTTAGCGTTTGATGCATTTGCAGTTCAACCATTAGGCACTAATGACAGTGTTGGGGAAAATTAATTTCAGCACCTCCTGATTATCTTAAGTGTGCAACAGGCAGAAACTTAAGCTACAATGAAGTCCAAAGGGCTGTGTAATAAGAGATTACATTAGGGATACATCCTAAATGAGGGATTCCAACCTCAGGCAGGAGTTACTGTAGGCTATCAATACCACAAAACTGAATTCTTATTTGAGGATTTATGCATTTTTATTTACCACATGAAACGCTCATGCTCACACAGAGTTGCTGCTTCTTACCCTTAGAGCTCTGAGCTAGGCCAAGCCATACATTCTTGGTGATGAGATCATTTTCCTTTATGTGTGTGCTCACAAATGCATTTTCTTCAGCATCCACTATAGTCAGAAGGGTTGCTGAAGGACCTAAGGAGAAGAGGAAACTGGTCAGAGTTGCAACTTCAGAGATTTTTCATGGTGCTTGTACATTGAGTTTTCCGCGGGAACAATTACTACAGGAAAAGATTTGCTGATCTGGGCTTGTGAAATTAGCTGGAAGTAACCCTGCAGAATAAAGACATAAACCTCCCCGTTTCCTAAACACAGCATGTTATACAGAATGGCTTCAGATGACTGGTTATTCAAGTAGGTCACACAAAATAAAATGGGAGGAAACTTACTGCAGCTGTAGACTACATACATTGAAGGATATCAAAAGATATGCCACATTCAGAATTACTAGTTGTCCTGGTTTTAGCTGGGACAGAGTTAGCTCTTCTTTTTAGCAGCTAGAAGAGCTCTGTGTTTTGGTTTTACTCAGAGGCTCGCTCTGAGAAGAATGTTGATAGCAAGCTGATGCTTGTAGTTGGCACTGAGGTCTCAAAGACTTTTCAGCTGCCGTGTTCTTGCCAGTGTGCAGGAGCACAACAGGATAAGGGGGGAGCATAGCCAGAACAAGGGGTCCACGGTTTTCCTTATGATTTGTACTTGGACTTAAGATTGAGGGCCAAACTGGCTAATTAGTATTCCATATCATGCAGCGTCATGCCCAGCATAAAGGTGAGGGACAGCCGGGAAGAAGGGCTTTTGTGCTTTGGCTCTTTCGCCACTTCTGCTCTTTTGCACTTGCTGTGCTTTTGCTCTATCGCTTTTTTTTTTTCTCTCTCTCCCAGTACTCCCACTCTCGGAGTACTATCTCTCTCTCTCTCTCTGCCCCTCTCTATTTTGGGGCCTCGCATTCGTCCGGGATTGCAGCTTCGGGACGAGATGGGCTTCGCATAAGAGGGGGTGGTGAGCATCTACACTGTGTATTAAATCATCTGTATTAAATTGTTCTTATCTCAACCCACGGGTATCCCATTTATCCTTTAATTCTCTCCCTCATCCCTGGGGCTGGGGGAGGGTGAGTGAACGACTGTGGGGGGGCGGTTTGGTTGCC